AGGGGATTTTAATATAGTGAAAGCTAATGAAGAGAAACTTGGAGGTGGTTCAGTTACGCGAGCTGCTAAGCAAGACTGTGCAATTTGTAGATGTGAATTCATTATACGATGTTCCTTTCACAGGCTCTTTATTTACATGGCATCGTAACAAGAATGGATTATTATTATGGGAACGGCTTGACAAGGCTCTTGTCAATCATGATTGGATGGCTGCTTTTCCAAACTCTATGGTTGTACATCTTGAGTGTAACCATTCTGATCATGCACCTCTTCTTCTTAGCATAGAGGATAAAAATAACAGGGGGCCTACCAGTTTTCAATTTTAAAAGATGTGGCTTTAGCACTCTTCTTTTATTCCTAGTGCTACAAAATCTTGGACGAGACCTTGCCCTCCTTTTGGTATAGCTCGGGTTTCTTATAAATTGAAGAGATTAAAGGTTGATTTAAAACTCAGGAACAAAGTCGTCTTTGGGAATATTTTTCAGAAAATCAATGAAACTCGTGATAAAATTCTTATACTAGAGAACAACGTACGAACTAATCAAACTTTGGATGCTAATCTCATAGCTTTAAAGGGAGATTTATATAGACTTTTGCTGCAAGTAGAGATTTATAAGCGTCAACAGTCATAGGTTAAGTGGTTGTCTTGTGGGGATAAGAACACAACTTTCTTTCATGCTTCTACTAGGCAAAAAAGACAAAAAGCTATGCTAAATAGTATTACTACAGAGAGGCTGGTGTTCTCACTGACCAAGAAAAAATGTAGGAAGTTGCTATTGAATTTTTTAAAAAAAGCTCAAGGCCGAAGCTACTACAATAACAGAATATAGGGAGATGACATCTCTTATACCAAGATTAGTTAAAAATGTTGATAATTACATGCTCTTGCAGGAGGTTTCTGAGGTAGAAGTTCTTGCTACAGTTAAAGCTATACCTAAAGATGCTGCTCGGGGACCTGACGGTATTACTTCAACTTTTTTTTCCATGCATGGCCTGTTGTAGCTGAGGATGTAGTGGCGGCTATCCAAGAATTTTTTATGGGACAAGTACTGAATGATGCTTTGGGAGCTTCTATCATTTTTTTGGTGCCTAAGTCAGACGATCCCAAGACTTTTCAGGATTATATGCCTATTAGTTTATGTCAGGTTTTTTACAAAATCATGTCCAAAGTGGTTGCTAACCGTTTGATTTTGATTTTACCTAAATTAATTTCAATGAATTAAGGTGGCTTTGTTACTAGTAGGATGATATCTGAGAATGTTACGCTCAGGAGTTAGTTTATAATCTAAATAAAAGTTCCTGAGGTGCCAATGTGACAATGAAAGTGGACATGGCAAAGGCTTTTGATAGGGTCTCTTGGGACTACTTATTAGAAGTGTTGAGGGTGTTTGGATTTGTAGATTCTGGGGTATCTCTTATTAAGAATGCTATTACTTCGCCACAATTTTAGTTAAAATTAATGGTGTATTAGCTGGTTTTTTCACTCCCTCTCGTGGACTTAGACAAGGAAACCCATTATCACTGTTGTTATTTATTCTCAATGAAGAGCCAGGTAGTACGGGTCTAACGAAGCTTCTTGTAGAGAGTAGAACCACTCCTTATCAGGTTCCTTCTACATGTTCTCCTATATCGCATCTTCTCTATGCAGATGATTTTTTGGTGTTTACTATGGCACTCAACGTAGTCGTAATAATTTAATGGGATTTCTTTAACGTTATGAAGCTGTATCTGGGCAGTTAATGAATGTGGTCAAGAGTTCTTTTATAGTCCACAAACAAGTTGCAACTTCTAGAACACGTATCATTGCATCTACAATAGGCTTCAAAGAAAATTCCCCCCTTTTACTTATCTCGGATCACCTCTACATTATGGCAAGCTCGTTTCTTTGATGTTCACCCATGTGCTTGATAAAATCAGGAAAAAATACCAAGATGGAAAGGAAAGCTTCTATCCATGGGTAGAAAGCTCACTTTAATCAAGTCAGTCTTAAGTTTCATTCCTATCTATTTATTTTCTGTGGTCACATCTCCCATAAAAGTCGTTAAAGAGATTCATTCTCTTTTTGTCAACTTTTTTGGGGAGAATTAGAAGAGGATATTAAACGCAATTGGGTTTCTCGGAAAAACATCTATTTCCCACATAAGGAAGGAGGATTGGAGAGGAAATTCAATGTTCCCAAGTCCCGCTTCGCAGCAGTATAGATGAATTAATTTGGTGCCCTTGCAGCAATAGTTTATTTTCTACTAGCTCAGCTTGGTCTCTTCTC